TGGGTCCCCAACAAGAGAAACCCCCAAGTGCTCCAAGCGAGAAAAACTCTGGATCCCTGGTCCCCAACAAGGGAAACCAGCTATACAGGCTCTGAGGTGAATCCTTTCCTGTCAAATCCAAACGTCCCACAATTTAAATGGCACTTGCAGTTTCAGTCCGCAGAAACGATCCAAAGGCAATTGCAAAGAAATGCCTGTTTAATGACTAGCCTGCTTTTCCAACGTTAGCAGATAAGAGAGAGCTAAACCCAGGGAGAACAAAATGGAAAGGTACTACCTCGGTCCCCAGCAAGGGAAACCAGTGAGAAATGGCGCCTGTGATAATTAGGCGCGAAGTTGAGCCAGCCATTGAAAAGGGTGGGAAAAAGAATCACCGTTGCTAATGTCTGAGCCGTCAAATGAGCCGCTGATGCTGAGGCTCTAACTTGCAGGTTAAATGCTGCTGTCAGAACGAAATGGCAATGCGAAGTGAGCCGCTGTTGTGAGCGCTCCGCTACGATCGCAGAGAAAGCGATCGGAAAGTTAGATAAGAGAATTGCCTGAGGCAGTAGCCTCAAGCTGCCTGCGGAGTGGCAGGCTCCGCTATTTACAAAGGAACTGTTTTTTTTTTTTTTTAACTAATCGAGGTAACCTAATAGAGGGACAAGCCTGAAAAAGCCAAATTAAATGGTGAAGAATTTTAAAAGCCGAAATGACCCAAGAGCAAACCTGAATCAGAAAACCATTCCAGTCAGGGAGTGCACAACCTCTTACCACAAAGGCTGAGCTAAAACTGGGGGATGCTGAGGAGGTGTTCCGTGAAGGAGGAGGAGCATCCCGGAGTTTTAAGCCCAGCCTTTCCAGAAGAGACTGAAGCACCTCTCACTTCTGGATGCTCTGAACAGCCCATGGGAGAATGCATGATTCTTGGTCTTTGTAGAGATGAAGAAAATATAGTTTTATTAAGACTGCAGCATAATTCATATGTCCTGGTACCAACTGTAAAGAATATTTGTAACCCAGGATTGGATTCCTTGATGCTCTCTGAGATTAATTGCTAACACTGAAGATGTTATTGGTTAGGCAATGAAATATCTGTAAGAAAACAACCAAGGACCCCAGAGATAGGGGGATAGTACTATTCTGAAGAGTGGAACTAAGAAGAAAATAAAAGCCTCCTGAAGTGTTATATTTTATACTTCATCCCCAAAAGAGGGTTAAGACTATCACTATGACTTTACCATGTCACTAGTACTTCTATTCTGACCCCTTCTGAATGCAGCTATTCTAGTTATATGTGTGTAGTGCATGACAGATAAAGCAATTTATTAAGTCCACTTGTTTTGCTGCTCCCCCCCTGCATATTACCAGCCAGCAGAAAAAAACAAAACTACCAATCAGAATACTTCAGCAGAAATGGAAGTAGTCTAGCTACAAGATACCATTTGTCATCAGTAGGCTCTTTCCTTTGCTCCTCTTCTTCTACCATCTTCTGTCATAATCTGAGTTAAATTCAAACTGGATTTAATAACAAAAGATCAATCATAAAATAATCTGAATCACAAGATAGCACCTTCTCCTTTTTTTATAAAGGTAACAAATGTCAATTTCCAAATGCTGTCATGTTCTGTGGAAGTAGCAATAGAGGTGAGTGTTATGCTATTTCAGCATTGCACTAAATCATTAAGGATCACAGAGTTAAACCACTTATGACACTGCTAGTGTTATTGTACAATTCTGATAGACAGCTGTTTACATCATCCAGCTGCTGATTTCTACCTTTGTACATTGGTAATATCTACATGCCTGGTTGTCCCACACAAGTAGATAGATAATTGTGACTGAAAACAATTTATAGGTCCAAGAGCAGGTGTGCAAGAGACATGCAAAAGTACTTCCTCCCCTCTTCCCCCAATTTCAGCTCTACTGCTCCTGCATAAATCCTGCACAAAGGATCAAAGGCACCGTACTGTTTTGGCCAGTTCTTTAGGAAAGAAGAGAAGAATGGCAGCAGATAAATTGATTATGCTCAGATATTATTGGGTATGCTGGTACCAGCCTGATATGGAATATAAAATACCTCTCTAATCTATCCATTACTGATCCTGACTATATTCAATGCAATGGGTAGCAAGATATAACAGATTAAGAAGGAAAAAGTCGATGTCAATTGAACCTAGAATTTTGGTAGTGATTTATTATGGTTGTAATTCGAGTGAATGACCAAATTTGATTTTATGAGTATTTTCATAAGTGAATCACATGTTCATAAATCCAAATCCAAATCCAGCTTATCTAAGGGATGTTTTTGTAAAGTTTTTTGTTGAAAAATGGGAAAAAGTTGCACAACGCAATCCTGTGACCAAGGGATGCTGCAACTGATCATAAATGCAAGTCTCTTCCCAAGCGTTGAAATGTGATCATAATGGAGATGGTACGGCAGCTGTAATTTAAAGAATGGATTTATAAATTATGTTGCAATTTTGAATGATATTTTAAACAACTGTTCATAATCTGAGCTCTACCTATATAGCAACTTAAGACTGCCTCATTGTGGACTGGAGACCAAATGAACAAAACCATATGAAGAAAAAATAGTTGCTGACAGGAAATGTTCAGGCTGTGGGTGGGTTCAAATGGAAATATGGCCAAAGAGACATATATTCCTTGAAATTCAACAAGGAGCAAGTTAATAGCATCTTAAACTAATGAAATAACTGCCTGATGAGCCACTTGATTAGTTATGTATTATCTTAAAGAAATCCTGAAAAACTGGTAAAGTGCTAGAAGATAGGAAAAGGGCAAATACTGTCCCTGCCCATAATGATGCAGGGAACTTCAGACTAATATTGTCTAATATTGATGCCTGGGAAGAATTTAGAGGTAGATGTTTTAAAGGCAATGTGGTGATTAATAGAAATCAGCATGGATTTGTTAAGAACAGATTTTGCATTACTAATCTTATCTCCTTTTTAATTGGGCAATTTCCTTAATAGATTTTGAAATGCTATAGACATAACCTATTTTAACTTCAGCAGAGACATGCTGATTAAGAAATATGTGTAACAGGAAAGTTATATACTGTTGACTTGGAAATCTTATTCAAAGAAGATTCTGCATTGAATTGGAGAGAAGCATTAAGGGGATAATCCTGAATTTTCTAATATTTTTATTAATGACTTGGATGAGGAGGTAGCAATAATACTTAAAAGATAGGATGTAAATCCAATGAATAAATAAAACATATTACAGGAAAATCCTCCCTTAGCAAATAATCTCCATATTAGATGTATAAATGACAAAACTGGGTGTGAAAACAGATACTGTAAGAAGAAATTGTAAGAAGAAATACAATTGAAAACAATTTAGAGAAATAGGTTCAAAATAACAATGTTAAATTTAATGGATTCAAACCTTAAGTGCAAGGCATATAAAAAGGGATACCTGGCTTGGTACTTGTGAAAAAACCTTAGGATATAGTTAGCTACAAACTGAGTATGAATCTGCAGTGGCTTGAAAAAAAGCAATGCAATTCCAAGATGCATTGGAGGTAAATTTTCTAAATCACAAGAAATATTTGTGATTTGACCTTGAGTACTAACTCTGTTTGGGACATCATAGCTTAGGAAATCAGAAAACCCCACAAGAGAGATTCAAGAACTAGAAACTTTGAGAAAGATGGTTGAGAGAGATATGCTATAGAATTGTTCAAATATCTGAAAGAATGTCACACATGAAACCATCATGTTATTTTTTTGCTTCAGAATACTGAACTTAGAATAATGGAGTTAAGGTACAGAAAGTCAGATTGGGATTGTTGCATATGGAAGTTAGGCAGCAGTCTATTAGAGACAATTTAGGCTCCTGTACTAAATCAGGCAGTTACATGCCATGATTTAAATTACGCTTTCTAATTCTATTAGATCTACTTACTTCTCATCTCATGCATCACTATCAACAATGTTTACCTTGTCTTTTTCTTCTTCACATGTTTGCTTTTGATATTACAGCTTGTTTGCTGTAGTATGCTGTCATTTTTTTTTGGAGTTCTGAAAAATTCAAAACCTCCAGAAAACAACTCTTTCCTTTTACTCAACTCATCATGAAAACCAGGTGATCCCAATAGAAATATGGAGTTCAGAATCCAAATTTAAGATTGGCTTATGGAAGAAGTGAAAGGCATTTAAAAGTTGTCTTATTGCCTTTCTTAGCCTAGTGCACTTCAGGTGGGTTGGGCATTCCTCTCCAGGGTTTCACAATATGGTGAACACCAGGTTAGGAAAGGTTGGTTTCTACAGTTAGAAATAGCATGGTTCTGTGGCCTTGCTTGGAGACTGCAAAGGAGGAGCATGCAACTGTGGGACTGCTTAGCACCCTGAAAGCCTTCTCTACACCTTTTAATTAATTTTTAATATTGTTTTCAATCACCCTTGTCTTTTTTTAACATTTATATATTGTTTCTATGTTTTAATAATTTAATGTAGGCAATTGACAGTCCCTCTGTGATTGTCACATCCAAAATATGATAAATAAAAAAAATAAAAACTTCCCTGAGAGTACTGTAGTAGAGGTTGATTAACTTGGCCTTAGTCTAGCTCTTAAGTGAAAAGGAGATCATTTAAAATTCAATATTGTTTTTGGAGAGTAAGTTTTATACTTACAAAAAAATTATTTTGGGGAAAAAGTATTACTGGCTTAAGTCAAAATGTATTTTAGAGTTAATAAAATAGTTTCCTGAACTAATTAACTTAACTGATCTAAGAATGAACAACTGTGGGTTATCTTATTTCTCTAATCAGAGTAAGAAGGGAGGAAGTGGTTTCACTACATCCTGTCAGTGTATTACCAAATTGTTGCTAATATTCTTTGCAATGAGATCTAAGTCCCCCTCTTCTTTCCTATCCAGCTCCTCCTCAACGTTTTATTTTTAAATCCAGACCTAGTGGTAGTGTTGCTATACATACACAGTTGTAAGTTTCAGCTATCTTCCCACCCACCCTCCACTTTAGAAAGTCATATACCTCCTTAAATTTATGCACTAGCTTTTCGGGATCCATCTCCACTGGAGACAGCATGTCTTCATTTTCAGCCAATTCAAAAACCTCAATAGCCATCTCATTGTTGGGGAACATGGGGCTCATCTCTTCATCTTCATCTGTAGCATATTCTCCTGTCTGCAAATAACAAAAACAGGTTTTATCATTAGGCATTCTGATGTTCACCCTGACAGCACACTAAGTACAGAACTAAGGACTACTTTAAATGATTCGTTAAAATTCAGGAAGTATAAGTTCAAGAAAATTACACTTCCTGTTTTCAAGCAGGGGTAAAACTGGAATTATTTGCACAAAAGAAATGAGCAAACTAATTTCAATCTGAAATTTGTACATCTCTTACTTATAATTCTCTTTTGAAATGATACATTATATGAAACTAGGACATTCAGCTTGTTTCAGCTCTTTCTGTGCCAATTTTATTAAGCAAAATACAGAAACTTTATTATTAACATGTTTAAATGTTTTGGATAACTACAGTTTCAGTATGAGGTGCTAATATAGTAATAGGTTACACAGAAAAAAGATACCAAGAAGACACAGGACCTCCACCAGTTATAAAGAAAAAAATGGGGGTCTAAGGAAATTCATGAGTACTCCAAATTTAGCCAAAGCGTAGTTTCATTATGATAGCTAAATGGTGTTCACAAATATTAACAGCTATTCAGCTTCCCTGAATTTAAGGTTGGAGCTCTACTACTCTCCTGTCCTCCCCACAGGCAAAGAGAAATTGATCATACTTACTTCTTCATCCTCCTCTGTATACTGGGTATACCTCTGTTCCATCATTTCTCGCTGCCATCGTTCCTGTTCCAGGGTCTGCTGGATCAGTTGCGCCACTTCACTCTGCTCTCCTGGCTTCTCCCTGCCAATGAGGAACCTAAAGGAAATTAAAGTGAATAGAATGAATGCATGGCATTAATGTAATAAGAGAAATCTCGGTCCAATAACAAATCTGGAATTAGGTAATCAGGCTATATATCTCAATCTCTAACTATTGATCTACAGTGAAATGAAAGGTATTCTAGCTCTTGAATAAATATGTACAGATCTGTTTATTTCTACACTAAATGCTTCAATCACAGCAAATGACAAGCAGCAAAGACTAACACACACCAGCAGTACTTTCTCCTACTAATTCAGAGGAAGTTAACATTTAGTAGCCTGATTTGTATTTTTTTCTTTGCAACAAAAGACCATAATAGATACAGGTAGCAAAGGTAGTAAAGAACTAATGAGTAGTTCAAATAATTCTTGGAATAAAGGAAGAAATACATACAAGAAAATTACATTTCCTATTTTCACACAAAGGTAATGCTGAAACAGTTTACATCAAGAATTGGGAAAGCTAATTTCAGTCTGAAAAAACTCTCCTTTCAAATATTAACTCATGTGAAAACAGGAAATTCACTGGAATGTGTGGGGTCAGGCTTGAAACCTCCCTACTCCACAGTCATTCAAGGAAGAGCTTGTTCTAGGTATGTTTAATTTATCTGAAGCTTATGACATAAGTGTTCCTTTGCTTCTGGCTGAAAATAGGGGAACTGTGCTGCCACTGTTTGATGATTTGCTGTGGAAACTTGGGGGATATGATTGCAGTACCCAGAGAATGCAAACAAAGCAAAAATCCTAAGTATGGGCGGCTTATTACTGATGGATTGCAGTACTAAATGGACACAACATCAGAGGATTCTCAGAGCCAAAATAAATTGTTTTAATATTCAGGTATATGAGATCAGATTTTTTCCTTAAGTTTTTAAAATCAGCTACCAGGCTTTCTTAATTAGATTATCACCATATGTGGATGAGGAATTGTTCATTCTTCTTTACTAGTATGCCTCTTCAAATCTGTTAATCTTGGAGAAAAATAGAGATGCCTCTCTTTTCTTACCAATAGGAATAACATCAGGAGAGGTAGATTCCAACAGAAATATAGTTCAAAGAAGTTGAGTTACTCAAAAACAAGATAAATCCTGGGTGTCCCAGAAATAGATAGGCAGAAAGCAGCATAGTTTTCAAGCCTGACCTTAATTTGACTTAGGTCTAGCATAGCTATCCTTAATGCTAATTTTCAAGATGGACTGATAACATTCCCATCTTCAAAAAAGGAAAAAAATGGATCCAAGAAACTGCAAACCTATCAGCCTGACTTCAATACCTGGGAAGATTCCAAAAAAGATAATCAAGCAATGAATTTCTGAACATTTAGAGGCAAACAAAGTCATAATCAGAAGCTAACATATTGTCAAAAACAGATCATGCCAGACAAATCTTATTGCATTCTTTGACAATATTAGTGAATATATTGTTTAATTGGACTTCAATAAGGTATTTGACAAAGTAGACCACAACCTACTTCTTTATAAGCAAGAAAAATGTAGGTTAAACAGCATCACCAACAGATGGATTCATAACTGTCTGACCAACCACAGTCAATGTGCAATCCTTAATGGAACTACATCTACATCTACATGGAAATAATAAGTAGTGAGGTACCCCTGTTTTAGACCCAGTACTCTTCAATATCTTCATCAATGATTTAGATGAGGAGATTGAAGGGGAACTTATCAAATTTGCAGACAACACCAAGCTGACAGGAATAGCCAACATTCCAGAAAATAGGCTTAAGATCCAGAAGGATCTTGACAGATTTGAACACTGAGCCCTATTTAATAAAATGAAATTTAATGATGAGAAAAGTAAGGTTCCACATTTAAACAAAAAAGACCAAATGCACAGGTATAGAATAGGTGGTATCTGGCTTAATTGTAGTAATTGCAGGAGAGATCTTGGAGTCCAACTGGACAACCACTTAAATATGACCCAGCAGTCTGCTACAACTGGTAAAAAAGCCAACACAGTCCTAGGTTTCATTAACAGAGAGATAGAATCAAGATGACATAAAATGTTAGTACCACTTTAGCTCGGTAAGACCACCCTTGGGATATTGCATCCAGTTTTGGTTGCCAAAAAAGATGTTGGGACTTTAGAAAAAATACAGAGAAGAGTACTAAAGATGACTGCAGACAAAAACATATAAAGAATAGTTGCAGGAACTGGGTATGTCTAGTTTAATGGAAAAAAAGGACTAAAAGTGACATGATAGCAGTGTTCCAATAGCTAAGAGGCAACACAAGGGGGGGGGGGGGGGGGTCAACCTATTCTCGAAGTATCTGAAGAGAAGGGAAGAAGTAATGGATTGAAACTAATCAAGGAAAAAACCAACTCAGAACTAAGGAGAAATTTCCGGATAGTTAGAACAATGAATTAGTGAAATGACTTACCTGCAGACATTGTGGGCTCTCCCAACACTTGAGCTTTTTAAGAAGAGATTGGACAACCATTTGGACAGCCAGGTTTCTTGGCTGAGCAGGGGGTTGGATTAGAAGACCTCCAAAGTCCCTTCCAACTGTATTATTCTGTTATTCAAGGCTCAGAATTGGGAGAACAAAGCTGAAGGCCTCTGAACACATACAGAATGAAGGTCTGAACAACTCCATAAAGACACAAGATTCCCAGCATAGTTGCATCAGGCTTCCAGATTACAGGAAATTACTATCAGACTTATAAAAATGTCCCCACCCTTTCTGCTTTCACAAATTAACCTCTAGGCAGAATTTTTGATTTTGTGGAACTGTGTAATTTAAAAAAACAAAACAAAACAGGAAATTGTGGCTAAATTGTGTCAGTACAACAATTAAATTGATCATCAAATACTTCATTGGGTAACACAATCTCTTGCCTGCAAAGGCAGAATGGGTGCTATGCAATATGGAAGAAACTAGTTGCCTAGCAACCCATTCTCATAGTTGAAGTTCCTGTCGCTTGGGAACAGAGCAGCACGTAAATCTCGGAGTAATGGACTGAGTTCTAGGTCTGAGTCCCTATATTGTACAGGCCTTCTGATAGAAAGTGCCTTCTGTAATCACTCATCATCTGTGTCTGCTTGTGCTAGATGTGTTTGGTGACATACCATTTTCAAGCAGCTCATTCTTTTAAAACCAACATTACAAGGATGCTGGGCTAATGCCAAGCCTTGAATTCTTAATACTGCCAGGAAAAGGCAGGCCAAATGCCTCTGGTGAGATTTTTAAAAGGCCACAGAGGCAGCTGTATGGATAAAGGACAGATAGAAACACAGCTGACAGGAAAATGCAGCGAACGCAAAGCTCAATATCATTTCTCCCCTCCGAGTCCATTCAAAATTCTTGATTCATTTCTTAGAAAATAAAACAGCCCTGATTTGGCATACTTCTCTATGATGCAAAGATTCCTATTCTGAGATAGTGGGTGTTGTGCCACAGTTTCTATAAAATGAACCCAATCCCAACTGGGCAACATTGCCAAGCAAGGGTTCTTGCCAATTTCATTAAGAAAAATGTCTATTTCATAAACCATTTCATAAACCAGAGGTATTTTTAAAAACAAAACTTAACACTTCTACCTAATTTTCCCTTCCAGTTCTGATCACAATTGTTTGGATTCTATGTGTATCTATATCTATCTATATCTGTCTGTCTGTCTGTCTGTCTGTCTGTCTGTCTGTCTGTCTGTCTATCTATCTATCTATCTATCTATCTATCTATCTATCTATCTATCTATCTATCTATCATCTATCTATCTATCTATCTATCTATCTATCTATCTATCTATCTATCTATCTATCTATCTATCTATCTATCTATCTATCTATCTATCTACCTATCTATCTACACAGAGAAAGTGTGCACATATACACACTCACACAAGAAATTCACAAACTTCATCATGATCAATCTGGGGGGGGGGGGGGGGTGGGATGATTTTTCCTCTTTCGCCTATGCTCTAAAATCCAGCAGTATCAGTGCCCTCTATTTCTCCCATTTGCTTTTTTTTTTTAACCAGATGGACTGTAGGTTTTTGAAGAAGAAAAGGGTAACCATGATGGAGTGAGGGCAGGAGATAAAATAGAAATTAAAAAGCTGCCATGATTCTATAATGTTCTCTTAATAAACAATAATTACATTTTAAAAATGCACCTGACCAGGACTGTCAACCTTGGAAGCCATTTTTTCTTTTGGAGCTTCAAGCCACATTTAGTGCCTGGGAAAGTGGGAGGAGGGATTTTAAGGAGCGATGGAAGATTAGCCACAACAATATTCCTTTCTCTGGGAATCAAGGACGATTGCCCTGCACCTGAAAGGGAGTGACTGGGGGTAGTCTCCAGTTGGGACGAAGAGATAATTGGACCATGTGATGGACTTGTGGGTGCAGGGGATGGATTCTTGACTTTCTTTTGGGTGGGGGAAAACCCAGAACTCTCAGATTCGGGTTTTCCAAGATGTGCCAATATGACATCTCTAATAAAATGGAACTTTGAAGAAATGCTAGCCCCGGAGTCTTTTTTCTTGGAGTTGTTACTTGGAACGCTGACAAGGACTATACTTAGTAATGCTATCAAATTCAAACACTGATTGAGAATTTGCTGTAATATGTAATAGTGGAATATAATATATGCAATGTAGCACTGTAATATGTTGATGTATATAATGTTGGCCTTCAATTGGGGGTAACAGAAAAATATTCAACACTAGATTTCCATGATGGGGAAGGATTACATTTACTAAGCTTCATCTGCATCTTCAGCATAAGTGCTTTTGTTTCTATTTCAAAACACTGCAATAAAAAAGCTTGTGTTTTAAAAAAGTGATACATCACTTAATTCAGTAAGTGAGCTTCTACCACTGCACATGCAATTGTTGAATTTGTGGTCTGATAGGAAGTAGCTAAAATCGTTATGTCCTGCCAGGATGAAAGATATAAACTCTGCCATAAACACATCTAAGCATCCAGCTCTTTTTCTCTCTTTTGTCTGATCAGTAAAAAATACTGCAATAAAGGGAATCTTTATCCTTATCTGATTCATGCTGTTCTTCATGTGAATATCTATGTGTCTCCATTGTTCTTGATTTGCAAATAAAGGTTCTATTGACAGCAAATAAAAGCCAAATGTATTGTTTAAAACCATTAAGACTACGGCCTCTTGGCTGCCCCATGATGTAATAAATTTGCTAAGCCAATATTATCTATCTGATTGACATATAAACAGAAGAAGCAAAACCACGGCTGGCAGGAAAACCTATCATTGGCCCTTTTACTTCTACAATGGTAACACAGGAAACAAAAATAACTGCTTATAGAACTTTTTCCTATGCTGCAGTACAACTCTCAATGAGATCATGTTTCCTTTTCTGTATTTTTTTACACAGATAAATTAGCTACATATTCTGATCCCACCAGAAAACTAGGCTGCACATTGTTCCCCTACCGGACTCTACCCTTGGTATTCCTCAACACAGAGGCTGCAAAGCTTTGAGTCACGCCCACCAAACTGGTGCCATCCACCTCAACGATAAGATCATTCACCTGGATCCTAAGAAAGAAAAGGAAAAAGGAAAAAGAAAAAGTTAGAAATAAATCATCTGTCTAACTGCATTACTGCAAAGTCAAATGTGCAACCAAAGTATATCAAGCTTATGAACTCAGTCATGAACAAACATCATCATTTTTATCAAGTTTATAATTTTAAAAAGCTATCATTCATATTAAAAGTGGTGATTATATTCGCATTTCGGAGAAATGGAAGAAGATGGCTTATTTTTGGCATTACATTTATCAATAGTTACAACAGGCCTTTTTAATTCAGGTAGCATTTATTTAAAAACCACAATTATGCCTCAAATTTCCATTGTAAGTCATTGTAGTCATTAAATGGATCACCATGTCACTTGTTTTTACTTTTTTATGATGGTCATAAAGTGAGCCATCACAGTCATTAAGTAACTCACATGATTAGGCAGATCCATTCTCCCAAATGGGCTTTTTTTTGCTAGAAAAAGGCAAAAAAAGTGTGGCAAATTTGTGATCACGCAACCACAGGTCATAAATGTGAGCCGATTGCCAAATACCCAAAAATGTAATCACATGACCATGGAGATTGTGTGGGCTAGTTGTATGTAGCAGTTCTAACCAAGCATGAATCATACCTTTTTTCAAGTTCATTGTAACATTGAACAGTCATTATGTTGGGATTACCTATATTTAAAGGGTTGAATGTTATCTTTAGCTTCATCTGGTTTAGACTGCAATTTGGTTTTCTTCAGCACTACACAATAAACTTTATGGCTAATTGGGAATGTGAATTTTGGACTCTTCCATCCAAATTTCATCCACTAAAGTATCCACGTCTTTCTATACAAGTTTGTGACAGTGAAAGGACCTGCAATGTTATTTTTATTTGTATCACTCTGGGACCAGGCCAAGGGTAAAAATTCTACTGGAATAACATTTGATAGATTCTGAAGAAAACTTGTAATGTTTTTATAAAATTAAAAGGAACATCAGGTAGAAAAGAAAATGCACAAAGGATCTTTAGTGGGTACAATGTGCAGAGCAATTTCTGAGATTCTACTGAGCTTTCACCCATGAAGGCCTCTGTTTATATTTTTCTGGTGTTCTGGTACTGGGCAAGGAGCCATATTGGTTGCCATGACAGCATGCAGGAGCTCTGCTGGCATTTAGTACCAGGGCTGCTTTTCTCTCCCATCCTATCTTCCTTTCTGAATAGTTCAGTTCCATGAAAATACACAGGCAACAATGAAGCATTCCAGTTCAGCCAAGAGATAGCATTCCTTCTTTATTTAAATGAATGGTCTGCCAAATTCAGAGGTCAATCACTTAGGAGACTAATAAGACCTTTAAAATACATTGAATCCATCTTATATTCTATCCCTTCACAATGCTTCACCCTGGGTAAATGAAGTACATGAAGAATAATGGTATAATATTTGTAAAACCAAGGCAGTTCAAACAATCCAAAACAATCCTTAAAGGTAAGCTCTAGGGCATCTCAATGATTGCTTCTCAAAGTCAATCTCAATTAGGTTAATATATAGCAACAGTTGCAACTACAGGGCACACAAAAGAAAACTAGATGACTTCTTTTATCACTGAAAATGTTTATACAATGATCAGCTTGACCTTCCTTCTAAACGACTCATAGAAAGAAAAGTTTGCTGATATTTTTTTATCATGTTCTGAAATAATACATAAAAAACGAACATAGTTATTTCCTTATTCAGCCATATTTTTGATGATAATGACATAGTTCTTTTCAACTCTACATTCTGTGAAAAGGAAAATATGGTGCTGGACTACTGCATTAGGTGAAACTATCTCTTTTTATTCTTGCTGTACTGTACAATTACTTTTATTATTTCTACTATTATTTCCTCAACTATGTCTTCATTTAATCCATTTTCTTCTGCTGTATTTTGTAGTATTTTTATTGTTGTTTTTTTCCTCCTAAAATAAACAAAGCACGTGGAAACTTAGAAATATATTTGTTGTCCCTCAGTATTTAGACTATCTGATGAGCATTCTGTTTAAAAAACAAAAATAAACTTCTTACAATCCTGCAAATACTGGAGTTCAGGTGCTTATCACAACCTTGCAAGCATTGAAGTTTTGATGTTTGTACGAGAATCTTGCATTTAATTGGCATTTCTATGAGATGTGTAAGTTCATAACTTCTGGGGGGGGAAATGGATTGAAGATGCCTCCATAAAAAGAAGAACTAATGATTGCAATGGAATGAAAAGCTAGCAACTAAATAGTTTCTTTGATAATTCCTCTCCTTAACTATTAGCTAAAATTAACCATTTTAATTTGAGAATAATCTGTAGTCATTGTTTTGGACAATGGCCAACATTCTGAAAAACACATGTTCTATGCTGTCCAGCCCAACCCACCACATGTGCAGGGTTCATGTCTGTATCAAAAAACCTGAAGATGGCAGCCATAGTAGCATATTAAATTTAACTCTTTTCATACATGAACATTACATCATAGACACTTAGAAAAGAGGTGACATTTTATTTGTGCTGGGATCATCACCCTGCTTTTTTCATCCATCGTTATGGATGCCCCTGGCTCACACATGTCTTATACTCTTGTTGGGCAATGAAACAAACAACCCAGCTCAGAGAACACCAAGAATGCCATAGTTCAAACTTATACTACAAATATTTTCTATTTGAATTCAAATAATTTACCACACAGTTATATATATCTGAAGTTGATTCTGGTACTTTCTTTCTTTCTTCCTTAAGCACTTTAATTCCTATTTACAATTGTCAACAAATAATAATGTTACATTAGATTATTTTGGATGAATGAAGTGTACAATCCTCTATAACAGGGGTGTCAAACTCAATTTCACTGAGGTCCACATCAGGATTGTGGTTGACCTCAGGGGGGCAAGTGGATGTGACCGACTGGGTGAGTGTGGCCAACTGGGTGGGCATGGCTAGCTTGAACCACTGCTGGAATGTTTCCTCTTCACACTGAGTAGACCAGGCCGAAGCTATATTGACCTGGTGTTTCCTTTTCACATTGGGTAGACCAGGCCAAAGCGACACGGGCCGGCCCCTTATGTTTTCTAGGATGGACCGTGGGTCTTGTGTTTGACACCCTTGCTCTATAAGCTTAAAATATAGCAATTAAATAAAATGAGTACAGCAGTGGATAGAAATTCAAAAATTGTATAATGAGCATAGCAAGAGCACTTAGATTTCATAACACAAAAACATAGATAGCAGGAATGAATGACTGATAGGTCTCAAAATGTTGGATTTAAGCTTCAATCTCTCACCATTGACTGATAGAAATTCTTTTACACTTAGAACACCATAAGCTCCCCACCTGATTTACAGCCCTGATAACTAAGCCGTAGCAAATTAAAATACTGCAGAATAATAAAAAAAATGTTCTTTAACTTTTAGAGAATTAGCAACATTAGAAATTTAAATTCCCCCAATACAATTTTTGGATCTGAAGTTTAAAATTTTAATCCCTGAGAGTGAGAACAAGTTTTAGAGGCAAGTTACATATTACATCAAAATCATATGTAATAATTCCTTCTTTTTTCCACTACTACTTTGATAAAGGACAATTTGAGTTTAGACATTGGGAATGGGGAGGGGGACAAAAAAAGTGTTTAATCCTTCTTCGGCCTGCTACTTCCTTGCTGAATATTCCCTTTGGTCTTTCCATCCATGGGGATTCCAGATGGTTTACAATGTGATTGGAACTAAAATATTGTCAATGAAAAGTATTTGGACAAGATTTTCAAGAGCAAATCAACTGCCAGGTGAAGGGTTAAAGCATTTTTTCTAATGCAACTCCAAGGACTGTTTGCAGTGGAAAATGAGCTGCTGAAGCTACAGCTGTAATATAAGATGTAAGCTAGCCTTCTTAACAATAATTTAGGAACAAAGGCTGCCTTTTGTTGCATTACACTGTTTCCATTTATAATTTGTTTTTAACATATTCATGATCTGTTATGAGGATGGGAACACAGATGGCTTAAATACAGTTTCTCCTATAAAATATAACAAATAATAAATAAATGACCTAGATCCAGGGGTGGGATTCAAATTTTTAACAACCGGTTCTGTGGGTATGGTTTAGTTGGTGGGTGTGGCTTGGTGGTCATGTGACTGGGTGGACATGGCTTGGTGGTCATGTTTTTGGCTGGGTGTGGCCAACTCAATATCACTCACATCTCCTTGCCTGGCCTCTCATGACTGTGGGGATGCTGCAACAGTTGTAAGTGTGAAAAACGATCATAAGTCCCCTTTTTCAGTGCCATTGTAACTTTGAATGGTCACTCCACACAAGCAAAGTATCAGCAAAGGAGGAAAAAAAACTCCAGAGAAGTCTAGGAAGTCTAGTCATGCCAAGAATGTAATAAGGGTTAACGGAGAGGCAGTTTCTGTAAGCAACACCAGAATGTTTCCTTCCTGCCTTCCTTACAGGATTAGGCCAGTAATTTCTTTTAACAACCGGTTCTCCGAACTGCTTAGAATGTTAACAACCGGTTCTAGCGAATAGGTGCGAACCTGTAGAATCCCACCCCTGCCTAGATCGCTTTGGAGGACCACATCTGATGGTATTTCTATGCAATCTGGATTTTTAAATAATATTCTAAGGAGTTCCCCATATGATCCACACTGATCACATTCAATTTATTAGTTACTACTATGTACTTTTGTCCATGATAAATGAGAATCATATCTAAAAATCACTAAATTTCCCATGATTTTTCTACCAATGTATGGAGAGAGATGAGAAACATCTCTTGGTTTGCTATGTGAAATGTAGTTACTTTATAACTAAATTACTTGGAGGTTGGCACTCTTGCCTGCTGTTCCAAGTGGCAAATATAACCTCTTATTACATTTTATAGGGCTGCTTTGCTTCAGCTCTTTTAATGCTTCAGCTCTTCTAAGTACAAAGAGATTCTATATCTGGACTTTTGCGCTTTCCAGAGCATCTTTTCCAAATCTAAACCACATTCCTAATGTTTCATGTTCTGCAGTGATATTTGCATGTGTATATATGGAGGGAAACAGCCGTAACTGATATTGATTAAAAGGAAATTAATCCTATGCTTAATAAACTTATTTTTTTTAAAAGGACTGGAATGACATGTCAAAAAGGCCAATATAAATCAAAGCCTGCCACCTTTTCAGCTACTTCTCCTAGTGCTATAATGTGCATATACAGATAGTCCTCGACTTACAACAGCTGGGTTAATGACCATTCAAAGTTACAATGACACTAAAAAAATGACATGACCATTTTTCAAACTTCCAAACATCCCCATGGTCATGTGATCAAAATTCAGATTCTTGACAACCAGCTTATATTTATGCCAGTTATAGTGTGTATTGGGGTCATGTGATCATTTCTTACAATCTTCTGATGCTCAAAATCAATAGGAAAGTCAGATTCATTTAACAACTGTGCTACTAATTTAACAACTGCAATTAATAACTATGTCAAGAAAAGTAATAAAATGGAGCAAAACAATTTAACAGAAATTTTAGGTTCAATTGTGGTCGTAAGTTGAGGACTACCTGTAAAATAGAAGAAATTGACTAAAAGCTTCTTCTAATCTTAGAAGCAACTACTGCTTTTTATGCTAGCTTCCATGTACTTCATTAGAAATATTACACACAAACCAAGGTAGTAGTCTTAAACTTGGCAATTTATTACAACACAGAACATAATTCTATGTGCTTATTCAGACATAAGTCCCACTGACTGATCTTATGCAAATGAGCAGAGGATTAAAGCCTAACTCGTGCTAAACTTAATGAACTCTATTTCTGAGTAAATCACTCTATAAAATTCTTGGCGCTTATATTCAGGTTATAAGAATATCCCCAGCACCTGAAATGTTTTGCCTGCAGAGTAGCAGAATAAAAAGGGAGACTCATATAGACATAATAAAAGGGAAGCTTATTTTTATGGGTTTCCCTTTTCAGCCTTTGAGGGAAAACTGCCAAAAATGAATCCTAGTTGGAAAAAAGAAAGCCTAATATTCCTCAATTAGGGTTGGTATGATTTTTTACTATCTGTCAAAGAGAAAACTTTGAATTTCACTCTGGTATCATGTTAACCGAATGCTACATTGACAATTGCAAATATAATATATGGGAGGTGAGTTTTTAATCTTATGTTGAGGCATCTGATGATCCTGAGCTTTTAGGGAGGAAAAGATATATACCTTTTCACAGAAAAAAACGAAGAAATCTAGAATTTTAACCATCTCTTCTACCGCAAACAGAGATCGACTATGATCAATAAATAAGAGTTCTTGTTTTGGTAAATCCTTGTTCCAAGATAAGCTTTATTCCCAATGTAATATCAGTCCTACTGACCTGCCATCTCGATGAGCTGCTCCTCCTTCTGTCACAGTCTTGACAAATATGCCAAGCTTTTCTAGACCCATATCAGCTCCAGCCCCCATTCCAATAATACTGATCCCAAGACCCTCAGAATCTGCATGAGACAAGGAAGAGGTGAATTGAATTAAAATATGAGGTGCCAAGTCTGAAGCTTACCAAAATCTGGTAATAAATCCAATGAAACTTACTAATGCAAATTTCCTCATCAGCTAGAAGGGAATCCTTCCTGGCTCTTTAAAGAGAATTTGACTGTGCATCATTCAACATGTTTAATCAGGTCAGTTAAAAACCTAGCAGCTATATATATGTACAACATGCTAAGCTTTATTGTAACTCTCATTGATTAGTTGATTGGTGGGGGAATAGTGGGCTTAGTATGTTGTGCAATATCAGCTTATTTCTTCTGCTTATGGTTCAATCCCCCCTCCCCCCCTCAATTCCAGCTAACCTGGCTCATTATCATGGAAGGGAAAGAGTGGATGAAGAAAGGGGGGAATAGTTTGTTTATTCTTTAGAGTTTTTACATAATTAAAAGATGAATAAGTGTATATAAAGAGAGTAAAAATGAAAAAGTGCAGATGAAGAAAATATTACAGATAAAGAAAAAATGAAGTTTCTTCTAATTTTCTTTATTACTTTATTATTTCTCCCCTTTAGAATTATATTCTAGTTCCCTGCTTCCCATATTTACCCCTTCTTAATCAGTAAATTGAGAAATCATCAGTTCATTTTATCCATTTTCAGAATAAGTTCCACAGAGTTTAGAATATATATTTCCAGCAACATCACCCAAGGCATGAAATTCGCTATCAGGCAGCAGTTATATAGGAAGAAGCTGAAGGCAGATGATCACTTCAGTGTAATGGCAAAAGTATCAATTCATACTGTGGTAATTGTAAACCCACCTCTGTATTTTTATCAAGAAAACCACATGAATATAAAATATAAAATGATATAATGCCAAATGATGTGCCCCTCAGGTCAGATTACATTCAACATGCTACTTAGGAACAGCCAAGGAACTTTCAGAATACTAATGGTGTTTATAATATGGCTAGATTAAAGCCTTTGGGACATTAACTTCCCAATGTTGCCATACAGGAAAAGAAAATCAGAAGCTGCAAAGTCAGAATTACTTTGTGAACATGAACATGAACATATGAAGCATGAATATCGGAAAGCTCAACTCAGCCCTCCTAGGAAAACCAGACAGGAATATCAGCCCTCCTAGGAAAACCAGACAGGAAATATGACTAGATGAGCTAATTCTACTTTATTGTAAGGCTACATTAATAGAATCTACTTTATTGTAAGATTACATTAACAGAATCTTGTCTATTTGCAAGTCTGAAAGTAGAAATTTCCCACCACTAACTGCTGGGTCCATTAGTTCCTTAATTTTCCTTAATTTTCTTTCTCTGACCATCAAGTCCTTGGAATCCTGCCTCTCTTTTATAATTGTTTCCTAGGCAGAATCTCTTCCCCTCATTCCTCAAGATCATACAATCAAAGATGAAATGAAATTGACATCTTAGGCATCAATTAATAGAGTCTAGGATTGGACACTTTCAGTCAGAAGGTTATGCTATTTATTACTCAGGATATTAAAAACAAAGTGACATTGTTTTTATAGCTAGGAAAAGTATAGCAAGAACAATACTTGGCTACAATGCAATCAATGGCCAAATGCTATAAACCAGAATTTAGGGGCAGCCCTTTATTATGATGACCCTTCAACTTTATGCTCCAAATATTCATGCAGAACAAGAGGTGGCCAATGAGTTTTATGATCAAGTTCAATTTGAAATTGACAGAACACCCAATCAAAAGGTGGAAAGCCAA